CAAATATACACTTGCTGTCTTAGTATATTGGGAAAAATGATGAAACTAGATACATGTAATTTCCTACTTTTTTAAGAAAAATTATTAATAATGGATGTTGAAATGCATAGGCGAAAAAAGTCGGCATTCCTTTCTCCCCACGATGAATAATGTTTCGTGAACTACACCCTTATTGGATTTATGGAAGATTTAGTAAAACGTTAGTGAAGAAGTGTATCTCACAATAGATAGTGTAAAACAATAGTTCCTGCCATTAACGACAGCAGCTAGATCGTATTTTACATTTTAATTCTCATATATTGCATTGAAAACCTTCTCATAAGTATTGCATAATGCATGCAAATATGAAAACTTGATCTCCGATGTAAATTACGTAGAATAGATTTCGTTTTCTGCTATTATTTTGGAAATATATTGTGGAAAACAAATCTAATGTAAAAGATGAAAAAGTATAGTTTAATTTTATGTCTTCGATATTGATATTTATTGCCATTTGATAGGTCAACTTATCAGTCAAGCAACAAGAAAAGCCGGAACAACAAATCTTCATATTGATGTATCAGATGCTGTTAATGTTCTTGTCTATGTTGGTATCGGTGGTCATGGTGATAATGGATCAGATAAAGAAGAAGAAATTCGACGTAAATAAATAAAAAAGAAACAAAGAAAAACTTCGTTCCTTTTTTTTTGTAGAAGTCGAAGCTGAAATACTTGATTCAAATATTGATGAAGCTCAATTACAACGATTACGAAATGGAGAACGTCCGGGTGCTCTTTGGCATTTATTTCGCTCGGATGATGCAAAAAAAATTCGTGAATATGTTGGTCGAGTATGTTTTTTTTATTTTTTTTTGATATAATAAACTTGAATTTATACATATCTCTTTCATTTTAGTCTCAACGTAAAACTGCTGGTTCTGATGCTATACATGATCAAACAGCTTATTTAGAAAAAGAAGATTTAGAAAAATTAAGAGATTGGAGTAAAGTTGAATCATATCCAGTTCTTCAATTTCTTGGTGATGCTGTTTTTATTCCAAGTGGTGCACCTCATCAAGTAATTATTAAAGATTTTTTTCTCTTTATAGAAAAATTAATTATATTTTTTGAGAATGATTATGGTAAAATATGAGATAATTTTATAGAAATATATTTCTTTTAAACAATCGAATAATTAATGTTTTATTCTAGGTGAAAAATCTACATTCATGTATAAAAATAGCTGAAGATTTTGTTTCACCGGAAAATCTTGATCGTTGTTTAATAACAACCAATGAATTTCGATCATTATCAAATACACATACAAATCATGCTGATATCTTGCAGGTAAATATTTCTCATTATATATAAATATTTATATTCTGTAAGCAATATTTGAATTCGACTAGAAATTAATTCATTCCTAAAAGTAGATCGGAATGGAAAAGCTTTTAACGCAATTCCTACAGTTATTTTGAGACATATTTCTTCACCATCCTTTCACTTGACCCTTCAATAAGAAAATAGTTCATATGTTATAATGAAACATTATTCATATATAGTCTGTAACTGTATATCGACAATCCTTATGTATCGTGTTTTTCAAAAAAAAAAAAAAGAAAAATCTACTATTGTAGCGATCTTGTCAATTTTCAGTGTAAATACGGAGCGCAACAACTATCAGCATCCCAGTGAAAGAGTCATTCAAAAGATGACGTTTGTCAGAACGTTGCAAATGTACAGAGTGAGCCACAAATAGTACTACGATAAAAAAAAATAAAACATTTCGACGTCGGTTCAATCAAATGAATTGATTTTTATGCTTAGTAGTAGAATTTTATTTAATTTTTTTTATACAGATGAAGTCAGCAAATAATAGTATTATAAATACAACTATAGCATTCCATAGATAATGTTCAACTCTCAGCTAAAAGAAAAATAAGACGAAATCAAAACGAACTTAATGAATGATAGTCAACAGGTTCAAAATTTCGAAGGTTCTAACATAGAATACCAATTTTCGACAGGAATTCAGTGCCCACAGAATGGCTATAGTGCATTTTACTTATAAGATAAGCATTTCAGCATTTTAATTGACTACTAATTTTGAAAACTTGCTCTGTGTATATCAATATAGTGTATTTTGATTTCTGTATATTGTTGTAGATGGCAACTGAAAACGATTTGTGAAACGTCTCGTACTTATTTTTCTTACTTGACAATAGGCGAAATTTCCTTAGTAAGATCTCAAATAAAACTTTAAATAAATTTCTACCATTTACCTAAAATCAGCCCATTTGAGCGAATTGAATTAGAGATATTGCAATTTTTTATCCTAGTACTATTTATGACACAACGTGTGTGTCAGAGATCTACAAGTTACACTCGCGTCTTAACTAATATGTTTCTTCAGTGTTCTCTCAGAACGTTCCAAACCATGAGATGGCGTGGCACACATTCGGCCCAAGTTTACTCAACGTTGCATCAGCATGCACTAGAAGGTGAAGCTGATTCGCAGATCTCCACGTTGTATTTTTAAATATAGATGTGAACGGCATAATCTAATTCTAAAAGTGTCCGAATCGGATTTAACATTCGATCAAACTTGAAATCATAAAGACAAGAGTGTTATAAAACAATGTTCTTATTAAAAAGAGAGCATAGGAACTTTTTAAAAGTTTTGTTGGGCAAAACGAATATAGCTTATTAAAATTTTAATTGTTTTGATTATGTGCATTGATCTCTAGTCGATTTCTAATTTTGTTTAGAACATATATACAAATATTTATTAATTAATAATAAAATCATTTTGTTTTTAGGCTAAGAACATTCTATACTATACCATACGTGATGCATTAGATTCTCTGACTGAATCAAATCAAACTGATCCATCATTAGAGTCTTCCTCTTCAACTGTACATAATTAACTTTTTTGATTGATGATGGATAATATATATATACGTATTTGTTTTTCTTCCATTTTTATTTATTGCATTTATGTGTGTTTGTTTGTTGGTTGTTTTTTTTGTGAAGGAGTATCATAAGGTTAGACTAGAAATCGGAGTCACGTTCTTTGTTCTCAATATATATGTATGTGTTTATCTCACATCTTTCTTTGTCTATTTGTCATTTCTTTCTCTTGTTGTTCTTGTCACGTTCTTTGATTTTCTTTTTTTTGGTGCTAGATTAATTTTCATGCGTAGATTTTTCTTTTGTGTCTTTGTTGTTAGCTTTTGTTGTTGTTCATTTTGATTTTGATGTTGATGTATGTTAAAACAACAGATAACAATAGGTATGTTTTTTTTGCCTGTTTGTATAGCATATTATCAAAAGATTTCAATATATATGTATATGGAAAAATATTCAAGCAATTTATTATCGAATTAACGTAAGAAAAATTACAACTGAGAAAGCATGGCTTTGATAATAATAAGGTGTTTCTAAATTATTGATATTTTAAAATACAAGAATTTTACCTATTTAAAATGTGAAACGTCTTATTTACATAAAAAGAAGTTGGCAAACTAAGAATTATGATTGACACAATCTCGTGTCTTGATTGTAACCATGAAAAAGTTTTATTGGTTAAGTTTATACAATGATTCAATATCGAGAAAAAGAAGTTCCATTGTAAAAAGTAATAGATAGTTCAAAAAATTATTTCCTATGGTATAAGACGTTACCGGTATAGAATAAAAAATTTTTGGAAATAAAAAATCATCACAAACATTTTTTGTACTAACGGAAAAATAGAATATTTGAGCATACCTATCTCCAGAAGTGTCTATGTGGAAGAAGCTGGAATAGACTAAGCTTCTTCCTCCGGGTTTTTACATTGTGTCTGCGAAAATCTCAGGCTAGAATTGAGCAACTGTCTGTCAAGTTTTAGTCATTTTCTGCCTCAAACTTTATGTCAAATGTTTAGCTTCTTTCACCTTTAAGAACTATCAAGAGTCCTACCCATCATTACCTCGCTTCATCAGGAATATTTGATTTGTTTCTTTCATTATTAGGACTGATGGCGAATAGTTTACAGGTATGTAAAGTAGAGTGAAATGCATGCATATGTAGTTTTTTCATCGCAATTTATAATTGGTACATTGATCAACTAGACATGCTTTAGTCAATATATAATAATCTTTAACGAACCAGTTCATGTACAACATGTCAGATATATTTGTAATCTGGATTGGACAAAAACAAATCCTTTTCTGAATTTGAATTGAATTAGTCAGTCGAACGAGAATAATAAGTTTTATTATTTTTTTTTTAATATTTTATTTGTCTCGATTATTAAACATAAATATTGATAAATAAAACATTTAACACAAATTCAACAACATCATTTGTTTCTTTTAATACTTTTATTTTCTTATTCATAACAAATGTTAATGTCGCCTTCGATGACGACGATGGCGACGATGAGAGGATCCACTAAAATACAGACTGGTCTTTGGCATTGAAAGTAAAGGTCCTACTGGACCTACTGTCACATAACCAAATTCAAGATAATAAGTTTGATTGAGTGGTGAAAAATCTGCAATTATTTCTTGTTCATAACGTCGTGAACTGAATCGAGAACCCATCTAAATTGATGCCTAACACCTTGAGTTGACTAATATAAAAAACCATTTATTAATATGTTTTTATTTATTGCACATTTCTATTACATATCCAAGGAAATTTTAACTGACTAGTTGCGACGATGATAATTAAAAGCATATCGAGACACATTACTTTTTATCTATATATACTCATCAAAAAGTATATCAAGACTAAGGAAATTAGTTAACGTTAGAAAAACTGGCGACATGATTCAATGCTTTTACAGAAGATGTCTATAGTTGTTAGTGAATAATTAATAACTAACTGTGGTTCGTTTGACTACCAATATAAATGAACAAATGAATTTGTTTTCGGGTATTTCATACAGACTGAAGATATTTTTCTATGATAAAATAGTAAACTTTACGCGCCTTTTGTTTTAGATATTCTTATCCAATTTTGATAAACTCTCTTAGATGGCTCAACATAATCATCATTTAAAACGTTTACAACATTCAACAAATTCATTTGATGGTCATTCACCATTACCTGATGATGAAGCAATTAGAGAATCTATTCAAAATTTTTCTATTCCATCGAACAATCATATGAAATATTCTCGATCAGTATTGATTATTCAATTTTTGTTTTTATTATTTCTTAAAAATAATATTATATTTTAGTTTGAACCAGCTCCTCATCGAGCACGGCGTGGTGGTAGTATTGGAAGAGCATATAATCGTAGTATTTATTCATCAATGTCATTACCAAAACGAGCAATTAATTATGATTTAGCTGAAAGTTTTATGGATCATTCAACAAATCCATTATCATCAGATTTATATAAAATAAAATTTAAACATTCAGCAAAACAATGGCCTAATGGTCGTTTTATAAATTATAAAGAAAAGCTTGATAAATTAGATGGAAATATCATTACTGTAACATGTACACATAGTTTTCCTATTGTATCAAAAAGAAAAAAAATACCAGAAACAAAACAAAATGAACAAAATACAACAACTACACCATCATCAATAGTTGTAATGGATCGAATTGCTCAAGAACAAAAGAAAAAATTAGCTGATCAACAAACTAATCTGTATGCTAATTTATTTGGTGTTGGAAAAATTCCACGAGTAAATATAATGTTTTAACCATTTATTGACACAGTCGATGAAGAGAAAGAAATGAGCTTTTATAAATAGTAAATACTAGACGGAGGAAGAATTTGTTTACGAATCTTTTAACAATTCAAAAAAACTAATTTTTCTTCATGATTATCATTCTGAAGGCGCTCTCCATAGACGTACGAATCCGATGATGTTACAATAAATTTTGCTACAGCTGCAACTTACAAGTATCAAAACAGTTTGAAAAACAACAAGAAACAGTAGATTTGATAAACCTTAAAAGGCTAGTCAAGGTTGAGGATAATATGACCATTTAATAAAGTCCTACTATTGTTGGAAGTCCGAGAATGAGTTTTGTATATTATTATTGTCAAACAATCAATTTTAGTATCAGTCGGTGTATAAGAAATGTCGATAGAAAGTAAACCTAATAAAATAGGATCATGTTCATCTTTGCGTCTAAAAGAGATATAACGAAAAATTCATAGATTTAATTTTTCCATCAAGTAATTGATGTTCGAGAAAACTTGACCAACAAATAAAATGTACAATTTCAAGAAACTGATTACAGATTCAGATTTCTCGACTCCGAAAGCTTTCGATCAAACTATATGAAGATCTTGAAAGTCCTTCAGTTGCTATTTCTTAACAAAAGAATCAAATCCACGAATTTTCTTTTATCTCGTTATCCAGTAAGTGACAATGGAAACTTCCTACGTCTAATTCTGATCACTAACCTGCAGTAATCGCAGAAAATGCTATTTTTCAAATATATTTATCTCAATATGTCCCTTATTAAAAATAACTTCAGTGGCTTTGATAGTATTGTTCTTGACAGAGCTGAACCGGATAGACAAGTCATTACCGGTATATCTTGTTAACTTTTTGTCCTAATTATTTCATGAAGTATGTGTCATGAAACTTTGTCAAACGTAGACGACATCAAATATCATTATCTACAGATGGTATAGTACAGCAATTTTTTAATTCAGTGTCGGTATGAATTTCAAAACCGATTGGTCTGGCGCATGCAGACCTTTTTCATCTCTGTTCGTTGATATGATAAAATTTACTTAAATGCAAACGAGATCGCCCTATTTGTTCTTAGTTTGACAGAATAAATAAATGAATCTTACAAGGATATGAATAATTTTACTTTTTTTTTTAAATAGTTGTCATCGACTGCTCAAATAAAAAAAACCAATGGTATTAGTGATTCAACAAAACCATCCGCTTCCATTCCATTACTCAGTGAAAATAAAGAAGATCAACGGTGTTAATGAAAACTTTTGTTTTTTTTTTGTTACTAAGTCATTCACTTTCGTTCAGTATATTAGCGTTGTTGATGTTTAGTCTAGTAGTCATTTATGTATATACGTCATAAACTTTTTACATTTTTTTCTTTTGTGTCTTTCATTAATTAAGTCGGCTGATTATAAGATTCTATTATGTATCGGTTGTGTAATTAGATATGAACGATTTTGTTTTTGTCGTTTTTTTTTGTTCGCACTCAAAATGTTAAAAAGCACATGTTGAGATATAAGACTAGTTTTGAAGAATGTTCCTTTTTTGTTTTTTTTTCTTACGCAACGGAGGAGATGAAATAGCATACCAGTGCAAAAAGAAATAACCATCGATATACAGATATTTCCATAAATAAACGAAAAAAAAATTTATCTATTGATGATTTATTATCGTTTGTTATACATATAAACAATATGATTCAATTGGTTTTATACAATTAAATAGTGGTATTCATATATTGAAACTTATCCATAAAACGATCGTTTCAATAGTAACTTATGTTATAATTAAACTTTTACAAAAGATATAAGACAAATATAAATGTCATGCTTGTCACAATGAAATTCATCTAAGTTTTGAGTTAAGCTACCAGGATAGTTTTTTATCAACATTGTTTATGATATTATTTCTAAATTTAAGAAATATGTATCAAATCAAGTGCTAAAACGGCCAATATCTCATAAAGAACAAGTTTATCAACGATTGAAATCCCTTCACTTAACTTTCAGTGTTTGATGTAGATTTTTTTTTAAATGTCTGAGCAGTGAAGTTAAACGATAGATATGATAAGGCGCGGCCACTCGGTTAACATATATGATGTGAGATGAGTGCAAAGCGATTGCCCTCCACGAATTTCTTCGGCGGCGCGGCCGTCTAAAAATCAGTTGCGTTTGCTGTTAAAGGATAGATCGTCCGAGTATAGGCGGTCATGCTATGCACGCGGACGAAGCACATTACTGATATACATTTCATTCGTAACAAAAAATGATATGAGACAACATAGTAAGATATTATTGTTTGAAATTTTAGCAGCTTTATTGCAAAGACTAAGGAAATTTGTTAGAGATTAAGCAGTTCCTACATTTATTTATACAACCGAAGGTAGGAAAACGAAAACGAGTCAATGGAATCAACAACCAAATATTAACCGATTTTATTAAAGATATATGATACCCTTTAACTAATGTGCTTAATCATTATTTTACATGTTTAATATTAGATAAAACACAAACTCACAGCATACTGAAATTTAAAGAAGAACTTCATAATGTAGAACCGAAGAATTTATATATTATAAGTGTTATCTAGGCTTACCCTAGCAGTAAAATCTATCAATCCGTTAGATGATGCATTAATTCATGACTAGAAAAAAATAATGAGATAGTATTCATTAGTTATTGAAAAAAAAACAGTTTAGTTAAAACTATGAACAATGAATAGTTATTATACAAGAGAAGATAACATTAAAAACTATTACAACTATTATGCTATTGCAGATAAACAATATATTTATAAAGATTGACTATTTCCATTGAATCATCGTTATTTCCGATAAATTTATAACAACAATATCACATTGTTATTTTCATGCCCTTTTTTTGTTGATCCATAAGTATAATTTTATATTTAAGAATTTTTTTACTACATGTAACATACAACGTGTTCTATATGAATACGTAATCATATTAAATTAAAGCTTTTTAATTTAAATACATGAATTGAAAATGAAAAGTGTTACGAGACTGCTTATGCACACAATAGTTTTACCAGATGACTGATTCAGTGATGTAAACAAGGGGGTAAGTGCAGACGCCTAGCACCCAGCACCTGCTCAGCACCTACCAGCACCTACCAGCACCTACCAGTACCTACCAGTACCTACCGGCACCTACCAGCACCTACCAGCACCTACAGCACCTGTTCAGCATCTATACCGCATTTCACTATGAGCACCTACGGCACCTTCAGCACCTGCAAACATTGTTTCATTATCTTAAGTACTTAAGACAATAGAATAGTTGTTGAAGATGCTGAAAGTGCCGTAGGTACCGTAGATGCTCACTGTGGAATGCGGTATATGTGCTGAGCAGGTGCTGGGTGCTGGGTGCTGGGTGCCTGCACTTTCCTCCTTGGATGTAAAGCTCGATGAGTAGCAAAAAGAAAAAGAATACAGCTATGTAACATGAGTTTAAGAATAAATTGAATGGTAGACAATATCATTCGTGTATATCTTCAATTTTTCTATAGAGAAATAAAATTTGTGTCAAGTAAATTGTGTGTTTTTTTTTATTGAATTCTCAATAAATATTTGTTGAGTTTTACCGTACGAAATTCGCCACACGTTTTGTTTCAGTGTAACCAATTAAAATTTATTGAACTCACGAGGTGTAAATCGATAAAATGAGGTCCACTATTAGTTGACGAGTAAAAGTCAAATCATTTATAGAATGGTGTAGAAGAGATATGTAAACGCCTCCAATAATGGAAAATAATTCATTTGTACCCAATAAGACGAGTTAATTTGTTTTGAAACTTTACGCTACCTGTATGAGACATTTTCCTATATATCTTTTTGCTCAATCTTAGGACCTTTGCACGCAGCCTAAATAGGAATAATACCCAGAACATACTCTCATTATCTATTGTTGGTTTATTTGTAAGATAGACAAGGATATTTACGTTTGAATAATAAGAATATTTTAGTCTTTAAAGAATGCAGAATTTTAAAACTATTCCTATCACTTGATTTTTATGTTCGATCATGCATAAAGCATTGTAACAAAGTCAAAAGAACTGTATACTTCAGAAGAAAAAGTTCCCACCTCTTATTCTAATTCGTTCTATTTGACATTGAAATTAACACTGAAATTCTACAATAGATTCTTGAAAACAGAAGGAAATTTAACTGAAACAAGAAATTATTTATTATTTTGTTTGAACATAGTTAAAGATGTCGCCCTAGTACAACAGCATTTAACAGACATGAAAATTAAATAGGATTTATTTAATTACAAAAAAATAAATAATAAATTAATTTTTATATTTATTATATTGCTGATTTAAACTTAAATTTCTTTTTCTACAGTAGTTTATTACATTGACGAGGCAATAAAATGATATGGCTGAATGGCGACCGTAAAGAGAAAGTAGGATCCAGTCAAAATGAAGTTCTTTGTATTGTTACCACTAACACTATTTTTTCCTTCCTTTCCTGATTTTTTTTCTCTCTCTCTCCATCTCTCTCTCTCTCTTTCGTATCCAAAGATCTCGTGCGTGTTAGGTATAAACGTCAATAAATGAGTCAAACTATAATAAACTACACATAAATTATACATATATTTATATTGGTCATGTTTTAGATTGTATCAATTGGACTTGTTAGTTCACATCATCATATTTTGACTATATTTACTGTTATCTGTACATTTGTCAATAGTGTTTTGTTTTTTTGATTTTTTATCATATTCTCCTTCAAAAATTATCAAACATCTGATTTCGTATATATCTATGTAGTATGTAAAACATAATTTTTTTTTTCTCATTTAAATAAATCATTCTGTTTTCTTTTTTCTCCTTTAGAATATGTTCTATAATATCAAAATGACATTATGTTTTAATTATGAATTATTATCAATATTTAAATAATATACATGATGATGCCAACAGTAACCACTTTTCGCGATCCACTTGAAGCTCCACTTCGTAAATTAAGTGTTGATCTTATTAAAACATACAAACATATAAATGAAGTATGATTTTTTTTCTTTTTTTTTTTTTCATTACTCAATCATATAGACATTCATATCATACGCATATATCAGAATTGAATATTTTATACAGTAGTTTTTCTTTTCGTTCTGCTTGATGATGCATAGTGCGTAAGAAAAAAGAGAGAGAATACACAACAATACCGATCATATCTCAATACGTACACGTTTCTTTTTCTATATTAACAATCATTGAATACATCATCATTCAGGTCACCTGCATGGACATTAAAAAAGACGAGATGCATCTATATAAGTATCGTACAAAAATTTGACGCCTATGAAATCGACTAAAGTATATATTTTATTCTTTGTGGTTTTCTTTTATATCGTTTAATTCATTAATATCAACCTTGGTGTTCGAGGTTTGTTATTGACTGTCATCATCGACACACTCTGTTTATTCGAACAACTAATGCTGTCTAGTTTTTCTTTTGCTTCTCTCTCTTATTTCGTATTTTATCTTTTGTTTGCAATATTAGTGCATTTTTGAGATAGAGGTAAAATAAGTAACATCATGCAATACGTACAAGTACCTTACAATGAATGGGTTATACCATATACTTATGACCCATTACATTGGAATGGTGTTTACCATCATTACAATCAACTTTCATCAAATGCGAGTAGTCTTACTGATGCTAGTTCTGCATACAGTAGTTCGAATAACTATCAATATAATACATTACCATCAGTTATAGATCAACTATCGCCTGATGTCTATCATCCTACTTATGAAGTATTAATAGACAAATATTTTTGAATATGATTTGTTTGTTTTATTTAGGTATACTATGCTAAAAAGAAAAAACGTAGTAATAATCAAGTGATCGAAGAAAATGGTTTGCATAAGAAGGAGAAAAAGAATTTAAATGATGGATATGATGATGAAAATCATGATTATATCGTACGACCAGGAGAAATATGGCTTGAACGATATACAATTGATTGTTTAATTGGTAAAGGTAGTTTTGGACAGGTAAAAAAATATTAAAATATCAGAGAGAAATACTTAAATGAATAATAATCAATCGTTCAGCATTCAAAATCCGTTGAATTTATATTTAATTCTAAGAGAATTATATAAAAAACAATGTCAATTGGCTAATAATGAAGTTCTTTCGAAAAATCTGGGATGTTCTATTAGAAAACGTATAAACAGAGAAAAATAACGCAGAACATTTCCTGCTTTTTCTGAAAACAACATATTTTTCAAGTAGATGATGACAGAAATCATCAAAGAGTTTTGACAAAGAAGAAGGTGCCAAATAAAAAATCATATCGTTTATGATAGATCAGACCTTGGACAATCTTGCTCAATGTCGTTTTTTATGATGAAAATTGACTTTCTTTTGTAGAGGACAGGGGGGAAGAGAAGGGAGGGGGCGGGAGGCAAGCTTCATTGATATCTAAATAAGACATTCCAACAAGGATGATAGTCTAGACTAAATAAATTATTGTATAACAGTCAAATTTATCATCATACTGACTTCACTGAAACTTTGTCTTAGTGTCTTCAGGATTATCACTGAACTATTCTAAATGAATCTACTCACATCAGATGGTTTTATATCAAATTGTGATAATTTTTGGGGAAGGCGAAAATTCGGTAAAATGCTTTCATCCTTGGACTTTTGGATGTAATGGTGACCGAAGGGCAAGGACGAAACCTATCGTGACCTAGACCTTACACTAGATGACCTGTCATCAGGCCATCCTGCCCCAATCTTATTCATCTTGCAACAGAATTGTTTGCTTATTTTTATTTCATCAGAGAAAGATTAATGCTACCCAAAGTTACCTTGAAGTTGTAAAAGATTGGCAAGAGGTGGGGCATTTTGGGGGATAAGTGAGTGTAGGTGTTTTTTTAAACTTCTGATAAAAACGAAGTTTTTTTTTAAATAAGTGATGAGATGGAGTTTCGTGTCTTTTAAACCTATTCAAGATTTTTCTTTTAGGTCGTCAAAGCATTTGATCATCTTGATGGCGAATATGTAGCTATAAAAATAATCAAAAATAAACGTCCATTTCTATCGCAAGCTCAAATTGAAGTACGTCTTCTTGAATTAATGAATCAACAGGATATGGATAATAATGGTTATATTGGTATGTTTTGTAACTTGTCTTTTTTATTTAAATTAAAGTGGAGACGAAAAGTTTCGAAAAATAATATTTTTTGATACTTTTTTCTTATCGATATAACAGTCAGGACAAATCAGAGAAAAAGTTTGAGCAATTGAAATAATATTCTATCTGATGAGGCGCTTCTCAAATTCCTATGAACAAGTTTTATGAAATGTTTCTGAAAAAGCAAGACTGTCAAGATTGGTTTATCGAATTTTAGCAAAAAGTTCATCTAAGAGAGAAACCATTTCTGATATGTACTCATTCTACGAAAGGTATCGATATGTAAAACAAAGTAATGTCATAAAAACAATAGAAAACAGCATTTGCAACAGTGACAGAACCAGAGAGAGCTCAGTCTTCTCTATCAGAATGATGAAGTATGTACTTTTTTTCTCAAGACTCTCGTTGGGGTAGCTCCTTAGCGCGCTACCATCGATTTCAGACCTATCACACAATGATTATCGTTCGCTAAAGATAAGTAATGGATACAGAATAGGGTTTTTCTATTAGATGAACTTTTCGATGAAATTCGGAAAACTAGTTTTGTGAGATCTTGGTTTTTCAGAGAACTTTAATTTCAACTTGTTAATGATAATTCGACAAGAACATTTTCTGATAAGAACTTGTTTCAGCTATTCAAATATTTTCTCTGACATGTTCTGCTAGTTACCGTTAAGAAAAAAAAACCAAAATATTGTGTTTTAAAAATATTTGCCTCCACTTAATATTTATAGTTCTTTAATAAATTCTTTTGTTCTTTTTTTTTAAGTTACATTAAAACGACATTTTACATTTCGTAATCATTTATGTCTTGTATTTGAATTATTATCTTATAATTTATATGATCTATTACGAAATACAAATTTTCGCGGTGTATCACTTAATTTAACACGAAAATTTGCTTTACAACTTCTATCTGCATTATTATTTCTTTCTCAACCTGAACTTAGTATACTTCATTGCGGTATGTTATTTACAAAAAAAAGAAAATATTTTCTTTCTGAACTTCGAAATTTTAGATCTGAAACCTGAAAATATTCTTTTGGTTAATCCTAAACGATCTGCTATTAAAATTGTTGATTTTGGCAGTTCATGTCAAATTGGTCAGCGTGTATGTTCTCTTTAATAGAAAATAAAAATATTTATTTTTGAAATATATATATATATATATATATTTATATTTAGCTCTATCAATATATCCAAAGTCGATTTTATCGTTCACCAGAAGTGTTGCTTGGTATTCCATATGATATGGCGATTGATATGTGGAGTCTTGGTTGTATTCTTGTTGAAATGCATACAGGCGAACCATTATTTAGTGGTACAAATGAAGTATGTTGTTACAAAAATAGTTTTATACTAGAATATGAAATTCATTTTTGACTTTGATCTGTTATTGCACATCTTATCTATTACAAACAGATAAGTCTTTCATCATTTGTAGAATGAAAAAGAAGTGATTCTATGGTCTTATCTACTTTCTATTGAAGTATATAACAATTTATTTATCAAGAGATGATTTCAATATTGAAATACATAGAAGATTTATTACGAATTCAATTGAGATTTATATTTGACATTTTACTAATCTGAGTTAATATTTTGAAAAGAAGACCAAAGAGAAACGTTTTTGTGTTTATTTCGAATGATTTGATCATTCTACAAATATTCAAAGACAATGTTGTAAAACAAAATTATTTACATAAGATAAATTAATTAACCTTTATTATTTTATTAAAATTGGGAACTGTCTACTAGTAAACATCTCATCATTTTGAACGGTGGATAATTTTTTGCGGTTCGTCTTGTTTTTTTCTACTGTCTTTCACTTGTCGTCTCATGTATACTACCTATCCTGAATTTTCAGCTGAAAACAATATTCTTTGATCGAAATAACGAATTTCGAAAAGGTACTTATTTGTAGAGTTTGTTAGTTTCGAAATTCTTGAACTCAATCTAACCGCACCGTGACTCTCGCAATGAAGTTTCATAATCGGAATCGGATAGTCGTCCAAAAGGTATTACATTTTTTTTTGTATTCGATGACTAGCATTTCCTATACATTTTTTCAAATGACTAGAGCTTGTTGGCTCCAAAGTTTTTGGACCTGGACTTGACAGACAGGAGACAAAAATCGGGTTTGCTTGAAACAACGGTATCTTGGCAACGGAAAATTGTTTTCGGTTGAGAATTTTAAGATAGTCTACGGATCATTTGACGTATATATGGACACGGTGCCAAGTTGGATTTCTTTTTATTAGACCCTTAATTATGTGTCCAATGCTAGATCGAAAGCGCATTAAAACGATTTTCACTCAGTCTCATAGATTGATGATGACAAGTAGTTCTCTCGTAAGACTAATGTAAACTCAGATATCCTAAAAACTTTTGTTTTCATTCTACAGCAAATCATGCGTTGACTCTCTAAACTGAACACTTCCGTATAGTAGGTATTTTTTTAACGATCTATAATGAGATAGGTGTACTATGATAATGAAAAGCTTGGCGTTATTAAAAATAACAAGATTTATTGTTTTATTTTTAGTTTGATCAAATGATGAAAATTGTTGAAGTACTCGGTATACCACCAGCTCATATACTTGAACAAGGAACAAAAACTAAACGTTTTTTTGATCGTCTACCTGATAATACATGGATACCACGGAAGAGTAAAGACAGAAGGGTAAATATTTATTAGAACGAAAGAGTCATTTAGTTTCTAACGGATAATCGGAAAGTTTCTAGAGAAAATGCTTATTCACTTTTGATCCGCTAGGAACTATCAAAAGTTATGAATTAGGACGCTCTACTCGCATAGCAACTTACAAATGTTGCTCGAGAGTAATGAAATAATCTTTGACAAGTCCAAAAAATTAGTTTAAACAGAAAATTTTTCTATTTTTACTGTTATGATACGAAACTTAAAGTCAGGATCTTAATTTATAGATTAAAAACTATTCTACAATATGTACTATTTCAATTTTGTTCTACAAAACGATCGATTTCGACAATTTTGTAATATATTCGAAAAGGATTCTATAGAATAAACAAAAGCCTGTTGACTCACCATTAAACATAACTTTTGATACTTTCAAGCGGATAAAAATTGAACAAACAGCTTGTCTAAAAAACTTTCAATCACTCGTTATTGAAATATTTATTTGAAACATTGTTTGTTTGTTTTTTTTTTCATTAGTATCGATCACCTGGTACACGTAAATTACATGATATTCTTGGTGTTGATATTGGTGGTCCAGGTGGACGTCGGGCTGGTGAGCCAAATCATTCCGTATCAGATTATATAAAATTTAAAGAACTTGTTCAACAAATGCTTGAATACGATCCAAAACGGCGTATATTACCATTTAATGCATTACAATCGAATTTTTTCAAACGAGTTCCTGATGAAACATCAAATGTTAATCATCCAACAACAACAGCAACAAATAATAATAATAATAATAATCCATTGTCAAATCTTAATTCGAATAGTTCACCTAATCTTGATCCCAGTAAGTGTAAAAAAGATAAAATTATTTTCACATTCGATCTTATTTAATTTAAATAAAAACAAGCATAGTAAATACGAGTTAATCTTTGTTTATAGACCAGCAGCAAGTAAAAAATCCAGGACGAAAAAATATGATTATTACTAACAATACATTTTTTAATAGTCATAAATGAGCGACTTGTTTTTTTTTCTTTTCTTTTCTTTTCTTTTGTCTTCTTCTACATAGAAATAAAAAATAGAGATATACGAAAACAAAACCATCTATATTTCAACAAAAACAAAATGCTTTATATAATCAAATTTTTAAAAACTATTTGCTCGCTATGGGAGAGTCCATAATGCTTCTTATAATTTAACTTTAATCTCAAGGCTACAAAAAAAAACGAAAAAAAACAAAAAACTAATCTAATGATAACATTTTCTATTTCATAGGCCTTCGTTATCGTCATTTAATTGAAACAGTACAACCACCAAATCTATGGCAACCAACAGATTCATTTATGCCTGGAATTCCAAGACCATATCCTGCTCAACAAACAGCAAATACTAATAGTTCTATTTATTTAACAAATAGTTACCCAACTGATTCAATAGATCTTGCTGCACCAACAGAATTTCAATCAACGAACAGCTATTATCCATCTCAGAGAACTCATACATCACCGTCCGGAACAACATTTCCACCATTATTTACATATGTTCCACAAAATTTTAATCATCATTTATCATCAACTATTGACGATAATTCTTTACTTATACAAAATCCTAGTTTGACTTGATTTTTCTAAACGTATATATACACACACATACATACACTCACATCTTATTCAATCTTTATGTTTGTTCCTTTTAATTTATTGTTCTTTCTATTGCGTTACTCTCGCAATGATCTTTTTGGTTTTCTTTTCTTTTTGTTTCTAAAATAAAAGAACATGACGATGTCTTTGTAAATAATATATCATCTGTTTTTTTTTGAGAAAAGTTTCTTCCGAATAGAAAACACAAAAAATAAATATAACATGAAACGTGTGTGTGTATAGTTTAGAATTATGAAACAATTGAAATGTTAGAGGGGTGGATACTAACTAATTGTGTGCGTTTTTATTTTCTTTTTTTCTGCTTTCTTTCTTTCTTTCTTTCTTTCTTTCTTTCTTTATCTCACTCACATGTTTGTATAGTTTTGTATGACGCTTTCGAAGTGTGTGTATAAAACAAAAGAATTTTGAATACAAGCAAACGAACAACAATAATTAAAAAAAGAAAATAATAATAAAGAAAATTGTCGAAAAAAAAATCATAAATCAAAAATTTTAGCATTTTGTCTTTCTCATATTCTATTGTTGAAGATGGATAAGAAATAATAATGCTTATATTAGTTATATTTCTCAGTTATCTTCTTGGATGTGCATCAACAATTGCTGTATGCATATGTTTATTTATACTTTATGGAATTTATTCACCAGGAACAATTTTTGCAGAAGAACAATACCCAACAGTTCGTCCATTATCTCAAGTAAGCTTACATTTCTTAATATATTCGTCATATTTAGTATTTATTAATCTTAGTATTTTGAAGCAAAAAATTCAACAGTTGATGCTGTAAATTATATATTAAATTGTTTATTTCAAGAACTAAAAGATACATCAAAATTAAGACGATATATTATGCAGAAATTACATATCGAATTTGATGAATTAAAACAAACTCGATTAGGAAAAATATTTCTTCGAGATATTGCAGTATATACTAACATAAATAATTATTTTCAAAATTGTCTATACTATTTATAGATACGAAGTTTTTCTATGGGACACGAATGTCTAATATTCAGTAATATTCGTTTTGAACGACAAGTACGAGATGAACGTCAATTAATTAAAGTATAAAATTTGTTATTCTTAATATCCTTAATTAGATTTTCAAATAAATTTTTTAGGAAGTTGTAGCTAAACTTAATGGTGATTATCAAGATGGATTTTCTTGTACACTTGATATTACACTTGCATTTGGTCATCAATGTCAATTATATATAAAAGTTAATCGTATTCAAGGAGAGTTACGTTTAGAATTTCGACGTGAACCATTTTCGCATTGGTTATATGCTTTTCAAGATGAACCATTAATTGATTTAGACGTTAGAGCTTATTTATATTCTCACGAAATTCCACTATTAGCAAAAATCATACGTGGACGTATTATTCATACAATACGACGTAAAAATATATGGCCAAGTTATAAAATTCGTTATCCACCATTCTTTTCGAAATCAAAACAATCCTTACCAATTGAAATTCCATCTGTGAATGATAATAATAATTTTATACCTGGTATAATTGAAATTCTAATCAAGTCTTGCGATCGTCTTTCAATTCCTTTTGAAATATTCAATAAAGAAAATTATTCATTAGTATCGATTTTTTTAACAATTAATATTAATGAACAAATGTGTAAGGATTATTTACATATTAATCGTGATCAATGGATAAGAAAACATATTGAATTTATACCACAAATACATAAAATAAATATAATAGAAGTTCCGTATATGGATCGTACAGAATTTTTAATTGAAGAATTTAATCCAATACCGGATGAAATTGAAGATATGACAATATTTAAAGCAGCATTAGAAGATAAAAATGTTTTTCTACTTCAAATTCAAGATCAAGAAATAAGAACGTTAAAGCAAATAAATCGTTTATTAAAGTCAAAATCAACTAATGGACATCAACAAAAAGTCAAAATCGTTGTTGGAATGCCTTTAGTGAATAGTGTTCAAGTACGACGTGTAGTTGAAATAGAAGATACTTATACAATAGAAAAAGCGGTAGGAAAGAATTCCCACAGATTTTGGTGGCCTGTCTCGAAACAGAATATCTTGTTTTGTAGATTAATGTATGACACATCGAATGATATATAAGAAATCAAGTTGATTGATTCTTCAGATAGACTCATGCACATTTTATTTTTAAACTGGATCCAATACCGTTATAGATACTCTCTTCAATAATTTTCATCGTTTTTTCAGGCTTCAAAGTGACTCACTTTCTTAAATCTAGGTCTTTTCTTGAGTATATGATATTCCATTATACTCATCTCTGTACCACAGAACAAGTGAATACCAATGTGAAACTTTATGAAAATTGCACATTATCGAGCTCTGTATATGTTTCACAGATAATACCTTTCAGAGCAACTGGGACTTATTTTTAATTTACAAGATTGTCCACTGGACTAGCTTATTTTTCTATATGAAGGGATCATTATATTGATGATGTTTTAACTATATTCAATGGTCCTATTAAAATTTTGTATGTACCGATAATTAGTGTAACATGTCTGATGAACTGAATAAATAACTCTGTGATGAATGAAAAAAAGCTTTCTGAGTCTCAGAACCTCTTGAGAGGGTACGAGAATGGAAAAATTATTTTTGAAATGAACATAAGATATTTCTAGACTCTTCTAGAGTTACATGCATAAATCAAACCTGGATACGTGGAATCAAAATCTAAGGGAGAAGTAACAACCTCTTTTTTGTAATAATAATCTCATTCTCCTCCTCTAGAAATATGAAAGCCAAAATATGTTTTTCCGTTCTATTTATATCAGTTCATCAGGAATGCTGGACTTCTTATTGGTATATACAAATTTTTAATACAACTGTTGAATATTGGTAAGATATCGTCCATATACCAACTCCTTTATATAAAAACATAGACTATTCTAAGGACCAATCTTCAAAATTGACAATGAGTACCTGGTGCCCTACATGGTGTTATCTTTGAAATGTATAGAGCTCGATAATGAACAAGTTTTGAGAAAGTTTCATCTCAGTACTTATTTGTTTTATGACACTGAGTTTATCTTAAGGACTACAATGTCTATGAGTACTTTATATATATTTTTCGATAATTATTACCAATATAAGGACCGTGAGTGCATCAATATACGAGGAAAGCTTGGTTTCTTAAATATCATTCGCTGCGTTGCTAGTTGCTCTATAAAATTCGAGATCATGGTTCAAGATAGGTTATAAGGTCCTGCGAGATTCTTAAATTATCTGTTTGAATAAAAACTGAAAATCTAGGACGAGCAATCACGAATGGCAAAACGACAACGAACAAAAGGTTCGCAACAGAATTTTTTAAAATTATTTGTCATTCATTTTTTTTGTTTTCTTTTTTAATAACAGCTTATCAATCAACTAATTCAAGTAGCAATCAATCCAATAATTGTATTCAAAAACAGAATTCAAACACAACAAAAACAATGAAGCAAGAAGTAAATGAAAACAAAAATTGATATATTTGTTTTAATTCTTTTTTATTCGGTTCAAAGAAAGATTCTTCGTCAAATAATATCACTTTAATCATGTTGAATGATGATTATTTGCCGGAATTTCGAATTCACACACGAGCTCGAAAAGCAGAACCGGTTAGTTATTTTATCAAAGAAGAAAAAGAAAATAATTTCATCTTCATATTTTTCCTTATTTTTCACTATAGTATGTTGAATTCAATAATAAATTCAAATTTAAAATAGGTCCAAATGTACAATATCTTAATATCTGCTTATGGTGTAAACCACCACTCAATTGTGACATACCACATGCTAGCAAAAAGTTTATTTTGCTCGGTTATGTAAGTATTAATACAGTTAAACATGAATGATAGACAGAAAGTATCTGACTGTGTTACCAAAGATTATATATTAATGATTACTTTATATAATAAAAGGGAAATAAGAGCTTGAGTTCATGTCGTAATAAAAATGTTTCTTTTAATTGTTGCTAAATTAAAATGTGAAAAGCTAAGTAAAGAATTTAATTCTTCAAGGACCATTGCTTGCCTGTGATAGCTCTAGATTTCTAAATTTTGATGATGATGGTTATCATTGAATGCTGATCGTTCAACAAGTTAAAACTTCTTTTTAATAATTCATAAGATATAAGCGTTCGATTACATTTGCTGTAAAATGCTAATAAATCATGATCTAAGAGATATGAAGACTTTTTTTTGATCAAACCGTAACTCTGACTCTTCTCTATCTAGAATATGAATTTAAAGTATTAGCTTTTAATTATTTCTGAAATGCATTTGTTTTATAATCGAAGATTAATTTTGAAGTTTGAGATATTTGTCCGAAAAAATTCATAAGTTAGCCGAAGAATACTACTTTCACTTAAAAATTGCACAAGATATTTTAAGATATATTTTAGTTATTCGCACAAAGTTTAAGGATGAACTAGGATATAGTTCGAAATATTCATTGCATATTAACTATTCATTGTTAAAATATACATGGATAGATAAGGATGAACTGAAATTTGTCCACTCTATTATATCTTCTCTAGTTAGTGTTCATCATAATCATATGAAAATCTAACAAAGAAAATATCCATAAGCGAAGCAATGTCAAGAAGACTTCACATTCTCCCGAACTTCAAGCTATTTCATTTATTTTGCGCTTTTTAGTCCATATATACTTGCAAGGAAAGCTAATACACATATTTGAAATCAACTGACAAAACTGCATTTTTTACATCTCAATATCTTTTTGTATTTTGGGAATCAATCAAAGAAAACAAAACGTAAAGCATTTTTTATGCTAGCATTCAAACTATGAAGTAATATCTATTGAAGTCTGTGAACTATTATTTCTCGAGGTATAAACAGAAATACTAATTGTAATGTGTCTCATAAGAGAAGTTTTCAACTAATAAATTGCTTTTGAATCGAGACTACATCTTATGTAGATTCAAATCAGCTATGAATACCATGAAAAGAGTTTGTGTCTTTAGCTTGTTGCTGTGAATATACTGCGAATTTATGGTAGTTTTAAATGAATACCATAGGCCCTCTCAGGAAAGCTAGTTTTCGAACTTCGACTTGAAACTATGCATAGAAACGAGTCTTACAGAGAACAGATTATTGTGAAAGTGTCAAGTCTATTGATAGCTTCTATATTGAAATAAGAATATCAAGAGAAGAACAAAGAGACTTCAGTACTATGGCGTACGGTACTTTACTCGTACCTCGAATAACTAAGGTCTTAATTTTAGGTAACATAGCTGTATTTTAGGATAGAAACAACGAAAAGATCTGAAACTTTGACAGGAAGCTGTTCTTACTTAAGTCTGTCTCTATACAAAATTAAAAGTGCAGTATCTTCGTAGTAATAAGCTAAGGATACAATCTCTTTTCACGATATTCAAAACTCGTTTGGGTTGACATAATAAACATAATCTCGACTCAAAAGTGATTTACCAGTTGATACACTTTCCTCGTCAGTTTATGTAAAACGAATGTGAATATCATGTATCTAAACTTATATCTTCTTCACACGTCGTGATTGATCTACATTTCTCAAATCATTGTTGACGAAAAAAATGAAGCTATGATAAGCATAGATTTTAATTTATATTTGTTTTTAGGCTACAGTTGCTCTTTCTGAACTTATATTTGATGCTCATATGAGTTTTAAACGTGAAACTGAAACGACACTGAATTTTCGACCTACTTATTCTTCAAAATCTAATTTGTAAGATTAATTCTAAATTTTAATTTATTAATAAAGAACATATTTTTTTACGTGTAGAAAACTTATTCAAACAAATTCCAAAAGGTATTTTATTGAATTAAGTCGAATAATTATATTTTTTTTTAAATTTCATTATAGTCAAAAACTAGCTGAATTAAGGACACATAGAGGTTATGATGATAATATGGCTAATGGATTTGTTACAATTAATTTTCAGCACCAACCAGAAATTGAAATGAAATTAAATCAAGAAGACAAAAAAGAATTTGTAATTGAAAAAGATGATAATCAAAATGAAGAACAACCAATGTCTACTAATGAAGAACATAAATTGCCTTTATCGAAGTAAGGAAAAAATCATTTAAAAAGGAACTATTTATTGTAATTTTTTTTCCATTTAGTTCTACTAATCATTCATTTGAAGATCATGCATTTAGTATCGAAACATTATGTGCTTATTGTAATAAAAAAATTTGGACAAAAACTGGTCGTCAATGTCGAAATTGCTCAATGACAATACATAAAAAATGTGAAGATAAACTAAATCATCAACATACTTGTACACATGAATCTATTCATTTAAAATCTAAAGAATCTGAAGATAATCATTCAACTATATCCACTAATGATGTTGATTCAAGTTCAAATACGAATCAAACAACAATAACATCTCATTCTTCATCAACTATAGGAACTTCTACTGCTGCATTTTCTATATTTGATTTAACGTCAAATAGACTGTTTCATACATTAATGAATAAAAATGTTAATTTAATACCAACATTAAATTTATCAAATGATCAATTGGATCATAAATCATCATCTTATACAGAAAAACAACTTATAAAAAATCTTCCAATTTCAACATCTTCAAAATTCATTAATGCTGCTTCATTAGCTTATAGTAAATTACTTGAATTTAAAATAAAACGAATACCTCTTTCGTTAACATGGGAAACAAAAAAGAAACGATCACTATCTGATTCGAGTACTAATATTTTTATAGTTTATTTTATTAGAAATTCAATTATTATTATTTTTTTCTTAGTTACATATGAAAACATTTCGGAAGATGACCTGCAAGATATCATAACAGTATATTAAAAAGAAATGTTTACTTTAAAAAGAAAATCATATTTTTCGTTTTCAGAAATGCTTGTCAGATGAAACAATTGATATAAAAAGTTTCGAAAATTTACTTCATGAAAAAGCTGTTGATCATACAGTACTTTATGCAAAAGCTAATGAATTCGGATCCGAATTATTTCCAGACTTAACAATTGAAGAACGAAAACATAAATTTGAGAATGAAGTTAGTTTATTAATAATCTATCATAGTTTAGATTTGAAGTTGTTTTCTTTTATCTTTAATCTTATTCAGATTTCTCGATTACAACAAGAAATTGATTTACAAGATCGAATACGTGATGAAATGATTATTGAATATAATAGTGATCTAACGGATGAAAATGCTAAAAGAAAAATTCAAGCAAAAATTACTAATGTTGATGAAAAAGTACAAGCACTTGGTAAGTTATTAGTATTAGATTATTGAAGAAAGAGTAAATTTTCTCTCTTTATAGCTGCATTGACAATTCTTTATTGTTCCGGTAAATATATTAGTACTTTTTTTTCAACAAATTTTTTAAAAACTATTGTTTAAGGTCTTAGATATTGTTATTCTCAATTGTAAATAAAAATGTGATAACTCTACGGTGCATAGTAAAATACAAATGTGTTTACTTAAAACAATCAATTATATGATAGGGATAATGTACAGTGATAATATCAATTTAATTTTTACCGTCAATATTATTGAACATTTGCTCAAACGAACAAGATAAAACTTTATAATGTGCAATGTGATCCATTTAATGTAATAAGCGACAACGTTATTTTGTATTTAATATAATCCAAATTTAGTTTTTTTCTTCTATTTATAGTTTTTTTTTTTTGTAATAGTTTAATCTGGACTTATTAATGTGTAATTTGCATTTTATTTTTTTATTTATTTATATCACAGAGATAATCAATCTAGTTTTTACTAAGTACTCATTGTTTTTTACTTTTCAATTAACCTCGTATGTTTAAACATGATAATCAAAATTTCGTTTTTTTAATATAATTGATGATGCATTTTGTTAAGCAGTTTATAAATATTTTAAACGTGAAGTCATTTCTAAACATAGTGATAAAAATTAATAATTTGTTCAATAACCTGTGTTTTTTTCTGTAGATGACTGATATACAAGAAGAAATTCTACCATCCGAAGAAACTGATGCTCAAGTTGAACAAGCTCGAAAACAAATTCATGATTGGCTTAATAAACCAATGCGTGTTTCAATAATCGATGGCCGTGTCCTTGTTGGTGTATTACTTTGTACGGATCGTGATCAAAATCTTATCCTAGGTAATTGTAATGAATATATTGGTTCACCAAGTGAACAAGAAGAATTTCGTGTACTTGGTCTTGCACTTATACCTGGTCAACATATTCAATCAATTTATATTGATGAAAATTCTTCATCAATGTCATATCATTCAAATCCATCACATATATCAATAACAAAAACAAATGATCATATTTTAGATGATGACAAAAGTGATTGTTAGAGTTTTTTTGTTTTAATCGACCTTTTTTTTGTCTTTGTATGTAATTGATATGTTTTCCTTTCTTTTGTTTTTCTTTTTTATGCTTCAGATGTCTTGTCAAAAAGGTAATATTAGTAGAAAACGTAAACAAAAATATCAAAATGCAACAACATTTAAAAATAATCTATATGATACAAGTAAATTAACAAAAGAAATTAATTCAATTGAACATAAAGGTTTATGTGAACATTGTAAACAAATATTGGAATGGAAAATACATTTTAGAAAATATAAACCATTAACACAACCAAAAAAATGGTAAAAATTAATTGAATTTGCTGAAACACGACTTAAAAAAGAATGTTGAAGTGTATAGGGTGGAACTTTGGAACCACTCTTCTTCTTCTTCTCATAGACCATGATAGACATCTGCGGAAATAGTCACAGGAAAGAAGAATACTCTTGCCTTTCAGTTGTCTTGTGGTACAGAGTATTGTCTAGCGACAGATTCATTCACCTGGCATCTTTCATACAGCTAATAATAATTATAGCTTTGGACAGAAGGTTGGTCTGACGTAGAATTTTTGCGCTCAATGGCTTAAGCTCCCCATGCACACTAACTAATTACACACTAGTCATGAGGGCAGGTTTATGCAACAATTTAGTCAGCATACTAGCTACCGGTTAATTCGAGACAAACAGTCCATAGTGATTTATTCAAGGTCATTCCATAGATGTTGGTACTGAAGTTTGGAAATATTATCCATTCGATACGTTACTCGGAACATATCCCTTTAGTTATGTCGACTGAACATCAACACAGACCAAGTAAAACGTTATCAGTATACGATTACAAACCGTGTATCAATAACGGCTCTTTACAATATATTAACTATTTCCTGATTGCATTTCTAAAGAGATGAGTAAAAAGATGCTGAGGTCATATTTCTTAAAAAAGATAGAAAAAAGTACTCTCCCTGTGATTAACAAGAGTGCCTACATCATGTTTCGCATTTTTATCCCACAGAAACTGCGCTAACAGCTTTTCTTTTTTATTGAATGCTGCATGTTTTGTTCGATTTTAGTGTTCGTTGTCAACAAAAAAATGTTATTCGTGCTTATTATATCATTTGTGATAATTGTGGTACTAACGATAATCTTTGTTGTAAATGTGGCCAAAGTCAAGACACAACTATTGAGTAAAATAAGAATTTTATTAAATAAACATTCGATAATATTCTTTATTTAAGACGACCTGTTCCTGCTGTTGAAGAAGACCGTGAACAAGCTGAATTCGAAACTGATATTAAACTACTTCGAGAGAGACAACGGCGTATGTTTATTTCAATATTTCAATAAAAAAAGAAAGAAAAGAACGATTCTCATTTTTCTTTGTCTAGGTAAATTCTATCGATTAATGAAACAAGGAATGTCTGGTGAAGAAGCTCTTGCAAAACTTAATGTTTCTTCGAATAAACAATCGAACAATTGTGACGATCACGATGATGATGATGATGATGATGACGACGATGATGAGAATTATGTTGATGACGATTCCGATATTGATGAAGATGATTTGACTTGACATACAAAAGAAAAAAAACATATACACATTGTTGTTGTTTTTGTTACGAAATAAAAAGGTCATCAAATAAAGAATTAAAATATTGTATGAATATAGACCAAAGTGAATGAATAAGTAATGAAGGTTCTTTTTCACGTAACAATGGTAAATAATCAAGTATTATTTGGACATTTTCTTCTTGATATTGATAAAGACAATCGAGTGTTAATGAACGGTGTGATTTTATTGTTATAGTAGAATCTAATTGTTGTTTATATATTCTAACACCGTATGATAATTGTTGAATAGCATGTTCATGTGTATCAATGATTGTTTGAGTTAAATTTGTTTTTGATGAACGATGATATTGTAAAAAATTCATTTGAAATTGAATTAGATAAATTAAATGATAAAGATATAATGATGATTTTGGTAAAATATAAATTGAAAAATTTTTTAAATCTAAATAAGTCATTTTAATGGATATTAAATTCATTATTGTCATTGAAATATTTTCATTATATAGATTATAATTAGAATTAAAATAATGAGGAATCGATTTTGTTTCAAGACGATTTAAAAGATAATCAATAAAATGGTGTACATGACTAAATAAATCACTGGTTATAAATGAATCAGAAGTGTATTGTTCGAGGAAATAGAAGAGTGTATGTTTAAAAATTACAAATGGACATTGTCCTTGTGTTTTACCATTTAAATATTTCCATAAAATCGATGCAAAACGTAAATGTCCATCAGACATTGTATGTACAAGTTGTGCTTCTATCGCTGAATATGTATAAGACCAAGATGCATTTGATGATGATAAAAGTATTTTTTCACAAGTTAAACATTTATCATTTGTAGATATTTCTTGTTCATTACCTTTAAATCGAATAAAACATGTATTATTAAATAAATTTTCAATATTCAATGGCCAAAGACGTTTTCGTTGCTCATAAACCGAACGTATTTCTTGTGGCCATGATTGAATATGTAAAACAAAATAAAATGATGTATGATTAACATCAAGATCATATGAATAATTTAATTTTGAGCTATTAATAATTGTTTGTCGAATTAAGTTTGCATGTTTTTGTGAAATGTATCCAAATATATTATTATTATTTATCTTATTAAAACACATTTGTACTAAATTATATGTTGCATTAACCAATAAAAATGGATGTAAACGATTATTAAGTTTCGAACCAGACAGCAATAATGAACAATGATCACAAGATGATAATGTACATGGTACATCCTTCGTATTATATGTTATTGATTTAAGTTCATTCCAATGCATATATTTTGTTATATAAACAAGTTTTTTATCTTCATCAAAGATTAATGATGGTGCATCGAGGTTTTTTAAATCTCTAGAAAATAGAATTAAAATGTATTATCATTAAGAAGGAAGACTTGCTTACTTCAAATTTATACAATCTAATTGTTTATGTTCAATTAATACAGTTTTTGTTCGTCGATGAATTCGAATAAATTCTTGTTGTACAACATCATCAATAACATAACTAAGTGTTTTACAATTATGAGAAATAGTATTTTTATGAAATTCATTTAGAAATAAATCATTCTTGCAACGAGGAAATGATACAGGTAATACAGTTGAAAATATTTCATTTGTAGATTGATTATCAAAATAACTTTGTTCATTGTAAGGTGAAAACTGAAATCTATTATGATTTGTTAATTGATATGATGATAGAATAGGATTAAGTTCAGTTGATGAGCAAGATGATGAAAGAATAAGTTGATCTTGAGAAGAAAATGATGTTGTATTAGAAGAAAATGACGAAAGTGAAGAATCGGAAAGTGTTGGCGAAGGAGATGTACCAACGGATTCTTAAATAATCACATAAATAAACAAATAACCTTAATTCACAAAAAAAAGTTATTTGATTTACCTGATATTATTTCTTGAGTAAAGATCAAAACTTCCTTATTGTCACAAATTTCTTTTTCTTTACTAAATAAATGTCCCATGTTTGTATCTTGTTCATTTTTTATCAATGTAATTGGATGTGCTACATTATTCTCACTAAAATCTGTCACATTATTGTTTGATTTAAATTTTTTACATTGAATGGATAATTGAACAGGCGATAATGTTGATGATGAATGTGAAAATAAAAATTGATCATTTGTTATCGTTGCTAAAGATGACGAATATTGAATGATGTTTTTTTCACTTTCATCTTTATTATTGAATAAAATATCTGATTCTTTTACATCGGATAAAGAAGAAAGATGATCAGTAGTTCGCTCCGATGTTGAAGATGGCAGAGTTGGTGTTAAATTTAATTGATTATTACAATGTAACTTGCTAGTAGAAACTGTTGAAGAAGTATGTCTACGGTGTTTATTGTGTGCATCAGATTTTTTACCAATACAATTACCCATTGTAGAAAGGTTTTCAACTAACTAAAAAAAAGCAGTAGAGAGAATGAAATATAAAGTCTTAACAATATATCAATTGTCAAATTCGAAACCATACTATGTCACAGAAGTGAAATTCATATCGATGTATATATATATATATAAGCTTTCGAGTGTGTCTCGTACATGTATATATGAAAATTATGGTTTCTTTCTCTTTCTCTTTTATTTGAACTAACAATAGTACAGTGCGTGCTTATTCATTGTCCTTCATCTTCTTACCTATCACTATTCGAATAAAACTTATTGTTATTGTTTTAGAGGTGAAATATTCATCAAGTAGAGACAAGAATGATTATTCATGCACATTCATATAAATGAGCGTTGTGTTCTCTCTTCTATCTCCCGTTCCCTCTTATATTTGTCATCAAAACGTCATAGGAGATGTCCGAGATGATTCGATTAGAGACAAATAAATTGTCATAGCAGTAATGTATTGATAACCTTCGGTCAACAAGAAACAAAGAAAAGCTTTTTATTCCTAATACCGTATTATTTATATTATTTTGTTATGACAGATGAAAATATAAGAATACGAGGCTATACGGATATATATATATGGATAGAAATAATAGAAAACTAATTTAGTTATATTCATGTATAAAAAGAAATGTAGCAATCAATATCATTACATATTAAACAGTAAGATTTTTTTTAATATACTGAATAAAGAAATTTTCATTAGATATATATATTGTTTCATAGAGAAACAAATCGATTGGTCAAAAGGTTTTTTTATGATAAAAAATGATTATTACATCAAAGAAGCACAAATAAACTTAGGAGCATACATACTGTGCAAACATTGCATGTAGCTCGAAGTGATTCTTATAAGTAAATTCTGAGTACAAACACTTGTTGTCCTTACTTCTTTTCTTTTCTTATGTCACAATTGGTCCTAAGATCAAGAATATGTAGCACCTGCTCATTGATATTCAAAAAAAAGAAAGAAAAAAGAAATTTAACTCCATAAAAATGTGCCTAGAAGCAGACTGTTAAC